CCCCCCCCCCCCCCCCCGGCCGCCGCCCGTGTTGTCATGACCATGGAAACTGGAAATCGGAATCTTAGGAGCAAGGATCAGAATCCGGGCAATATCTGCAAGGGCAGGCTCCAGTCTTACAGCCATCATAAAGCAGAGCTTTGTGTTGAAAAGAAAGGAGCAAGTACAAGCATCGATGCATCAACATTGCTGCGCCTGCTCGGTTTGGAGGAGTTTGGCCTGCTCTTCCTGGCAAGGTCTGCAAAGCTAGAACACTGCTAGAACAGATTTCCGGAAGAGCTGTTCCGGAGCTACTTGCGTACACCTACACAGTGCAGCTAACAGCAACCAAGGCACCGCACTAGCGAGCTGTGCGCGATGCTTGGCATGCAGCTGATCGAACTGCTTGGACCTTGACTCAGTGTACTGCGTGCAGCTAGTGGGACAAGACAGGAAAAGGCTCACATTTGTGATTGCAATCATGGCATGCGCTGCATGTTTAAAGTTGACCATAGAGATGGGACTTGGCAGCTCCTCGAGATCACGTTGTGGCGTCAGAGATGCACAGCTTGCATGGAAAAAAACATGCCTCACATCTGCTCTGGCGAGCTTCAACATGACTCAGGTCTCAGCAGTGCAGCAAGGTCCCGCCTTAGAACGCGCAAAGCAGCATCACATCTACATCCTCTCACGCGGGCTCCAACTCAGAATCTCAATTTGGGCGGAACCCTCGTCGTAACACCGTTTGCAGGGCTCGGGCAGGCTCAACAGGTGGGGTTCCTGACACGCCGGCAAGCTTTCCGGCTGCTAATGTTTGATGACAAGGTTTTGTTCAATGCCCCAGCCACATGTATCTGGCCAACTGATGGGGCCGCTAGCGTGTGAAAAAGGCGGTCAGAATCCCTGGCTGATGTTCTACGAACATTGCATTGTCCTGGGCATTACTGTTACTGCACGTCTGCTAGTCTCCTGACGCTGAGCCCACACCGACTTGCGTCGGCCTGGTTCCGCGGCACCCTGCGTCTAGGTGTTGTGCATGTCTGTGCCCATGGACCATGGATTTCCTTTTCGCACCGTGACTGGACAGCCACGCCTCCCCGACTTACAAGTCAGCTCAGGCGGGGAGCATCACATGTCAAAGCTTGCAGGGGCCATGCGCAACAGCAGCAGAAAACCGAGCGTCCCGCAAGAGATCTGTGTCTTTGGATTCATCTGCGAGCAAAGCCTCGCAACAGCAGAATTCACCGAGGCGTCCAGCCTCAATCAAGATGTTTGGAAGCTCCCTGACCTGGTAGGTATGTAACCCCCTGCTGGCAACTTTTAACGACATGAAGTGCAGCAGGCCGATGACGACAGGACCCCAAAACCCTTCTTCGATGGTAAAACAAGAGTGAAGATGAGTGAAGTTGTGTGTCTTCCCCCGAAGCCCCTCTACTCTACATCCCACAGCGATCGCATAGATCCCTACAGTTCCCAGGGACCCTCTCTTGTGGAAAATGAGCCATGAACGATCCTTCAGAAGAGCTTGCTTGTCTTTCTGCGGTCTGCAGCCCGCCCAAAGCTAGCATTTACAATAAATATGTACAAAATGTTCTTCCAGCATTGATTCCTCATAGTGTGGTAGAGAAACAAACACCACTACGCCATCTGCCAAATGCCTCGAGCTGTTTCGCAGCAATTCGAAGCTGCTCCTTGCAAGGGGACAAACTCAAGCCTTGTCTGGCTGTCCAGGCCCTCATGCTCAGAACTCCCAGACGCGAGCTTCTAAAAAAACATGCTAGACAGTGTGCAGCGGATTTGCACAGTCCAAGGATGACTTGTGAGTCCTCCACAACCTCCTTCTCGGCCTGCTGAATGATTTGCAACAAGCTCGCATCAGTATTACCACCTCCCTCGATTCGCATGCTATTTGCAGAAGCGATCTTTCTGTGGCTCGAGATCTAAGAGGATAGCGGTGCCGCCCCAACCTTTGACCACAGCTTACTTGCAGCCTGCAGCGTCCTCTGAGTTTCGACTCTGCCTTTCAGCTTTGCCTGTGCATGTCCGGATTCATGCAGGCAGTCAGGATGAAAATGACCAGCACGACCACAGCAGCAGCTTCACGTGAAGGATCAGCCTCCAGCATCTTTGCACGTCGCTCAGAGTTGGACAGCTTCCCTTTCAGCTGATCCTGGAAAGATTCATGCTGCTCTGGGCATGCCTGTACGAATGCAAGGGAGAGACATCCTAGAGTATTCGACAACTTTTCTGATCATGGCAAAGTAAAATGTACAAGTTGCACTCTGCCTACCCAGGCTAAGGGGCAGCTGCTGGCATCTCATCTTCGCCTGCTCCTCCAGCTGCTGTTGCTGCTGTGTGGCCACATCCAGCTGAAACCTTATCAGGGCATCCATTGCAGGGGCTAGCAAGAGGCGGTTACAGTGCAATAACCTAACAGGGAAAGCTGAGATCAAGAGTCTCTGCAACAAAGCCGGGCAAGTTTAGAACAGGCACCTTTCAATGTCCGCCTGGTGCGCTCTTGCTTGACGGGAGATTTCCTGGCGCGCACGTTCATGACAACCTACAAAGCACCTTGTTCCATGTGTGAACCTTCACGGGGGAGCGAGATGCACCGTCCCAGCTATGTGCACATACCGTACCGCGCATGAAAGAATTAAAGCCATGGCCTGCTGATGTTCTTCCACACGTTCTTCAGCACGCCGCTTTGCCTCTGATGCACGCACTTCACGTCCCATGTCCAGATCAAAGCTACAAACCAAGAGAGCTCACAAGCTTCACAGGCCGTGAGCTCGGAAGCTTTCTGATTTGAAAATTGGAGCCCTGGCCTCTCTGAACCCGTTCAAGCCTGCCCTAAGCTTGCTGGGGCGACTGGAAACATCCGGAGACTAAATGATGACTTTGTCTTGATATTGAGAACCCACTGCCTGAGAGAGCGCCTTCATTCGCTGCTTCATGTCAGCCAAGGCCGCCTGGCTGTCAAGAACTTTTGGTGCAGTTGCAGCCCGTCCCTGCAGCTCACCGCCCACCCCCAAAAAAAAAAAAAAATATATATATATATATAATAGCCCCCAAGCCTTTGGCAAAATGCTGGAGGCCTCGGCCTCTTCTGAGTTCTTGCCATTCCCGGAGCTGCCTTGGACAAAGACGAAAAGAAGGCAGGAGAACAAGGAAAAAACCAAGGTCAGCCTGGCCCCTGTGCTCAGCTCTTCACTCAGCAGCTGCTTTCGCTCCAGCTCCAAATCCTCACGTGTGTTTACAGTTGCCCCCCCACTATCACTATCGGCGCTACTAACAGCTGTGGTTCTTGCCTGATGTTAATTCCCCTGTGGCTTGGTGACCGGATGACTCGGTGAAATTTGGGCTGAGTCTGTGCATAACTTTCAGAATAACCCCCAGCCAAACTATTTGCGACAAAAATCCAGATCAGAGCCAAAAATTGCCTCTCGTGCAGTCCTGGTTCTGCTCTCGCAGCCTCAGCTTGGTGGCAGCATCACAGGTTTGGCATCGTAAGTACATGTTGATAGACTATGTGCCGCCGAGCAAGCAACAACATGCCGCAGCCGCCACCGCCACCACCAACAACAACAACAACAAGAATCACCACCACCACCACCACCACCACCACCACCACCACCACCACCACCATCACCACAACGACCATGACGACGTCGCAAAGCTCACTGGACGACAATGCTTTTCCACAGCTTTATCCTCTGCAAAAAACTGAACAATTGCACAAACGTTTTGATGGTTCAACACGGCAATGCTATATGTTGTGGTGCTGTCTTTTGTTGTGGGCTCCCTGCTTCCTGTGGAAAGAATGCTAACTCTTCTGGAAAATGGATCGCGAGTCGTTCTGGGCTCAGACTTAGACATGTCTAGTATTAAGAGCTCAGAGTTAATCGTGTTGGGTCTGAGGTGCCTGTAGACTTCAGGGCTTGAATTTGCAGGGCTCAGGGGGTGGTCAAGGTTTACTATAGGGGTTTAGGTGTCATAGGGTCATGGTTGATCTCGACATGTAGGGACGAGTGTCAGGATACTGCAAAGGGTCTCTTGGTCTGGAGGATCCTTTGGCTGATGCATCCTGGCTAGGGTTCTTTGCGCTACGGACTTCGGATCTTAGGTTTTTGGAGCTCAATGGCTTTGCAGCTAGGGATGTAGGGAGGTCGAGCGCTGTGGATTTCCTATTTGAGCTTTCAAATGTTGCGCAATAATTGTCGAGGGTTTGCCTTGCTGTGCACGAATTCACAAATCCCAGGCTCCATTACTGGCTCGCTGATGCGTGTGTCCTTGCTTGCCGGCAAGAATCAGTAAAGTTGACACACGACTTTGGTTCTTGAACATCAAAGGCCACACATATGAGACGGAAGAGTGCTCGAGACATCTTTGCATAAGTTTGTATGCCTTCCCATCTTGGCATCGGCACTTCCAGTCCGCTTTGCCAAATTCGAGCTCGGCCCCTTGACTTGATGTATATTCTTCATGACCACATCAAGGGCCCCACTTGATCAGCTCTTTCTGGAGGACGGCCATTTTAGCCTGCACTTCGCTGATGGTCGCCTCAGCTTTCTGGCAGAACCCTGAATTGGGTCTCAGATCCCCTCGCAACAACGCGGTTCTGTGGCATTCACGTCTGCAGCACCCGATGGCGAAGGCCGCCGTCTGCGAGACGTGTCTTTCGTATGATTGAATGATTGGGTGCACTTGAACTTTGCTCGTTCACAAGACCCTAAGGCTATGAGTTTCCAACATGCGTTCAGAAGCTGCCGGCCTCATTGTAGCACCAGTTGGCGTTCCACCGCCTGCCCGCAGCTCCGTATTCCTCAGTTCACAGGATGGGATTAAATGAGCTTGGAGAGAAGAGTTGCAGTGACTCACTGACAACATCAAACAGCGGTCTGCATGAAACGGCCGGATGAACTCAAACCGTCAGGAACTCAGTGTGCTGCTCACGTGCGAGAGTTGCCAGTGTCTGTGACAGACCGACAAATGCCCGCGTGACCAGCGCCTTCAGAATCGAGATGCTTTCAACAGGAGCATCGCTCTTGTAACGGGCCGACAGCGGTCGGCAAATGCCTCTGGAGACTCACCAGAGGCTTTGAGATGCTCCAGCTCTTCGCCCGTCCGCATTGCCTCCATCATTTTGAATACCATCACCACCGACGGCAAGTCCCTTTGCTCTCCATCACAAATCCGACCTCTGCGTAGTCGTGGCTGTGACCCGATACAAACGCAACAAGCTCATCAGCCTGCCAGAGCCCGGTGTTTCAGATGAGAGGGGATGGATCTAACTGACTCAAAATATGAAATCGCCTGTCATGCTTGAAGGAGAAAACTAGCCTTGTGCCCAAGAGCATGTAGCAGCCGAGACATGAAGGAATGTGCCTGCAGGTCTGGAAGTGGCCAATGCTCCAACAAGCCAAAGCTACCGACCTCGGTGATGTGGCCGTGACTCTTTCGATGGTGCACCTAGCATCGGTTACGTGAAGTTGGGGGATTCTTCACGGAATTTCTGCAGGTCCACCTCTTTCTCTTCGGCAAGTTCCCGGTGGCGGTCCTGCAGCAGGACACAGCTTCTTTCGCAATGAGTTCCCTGAGTGAGGCCGAGCCCTCACAAGGACTCAGCGCAGTCAGCACATCCTACGCTTGACGGCTTGCCATGGCTTGCCCTTCGGCTCCTCAGCCTCTTGAAGCCGACGCGCCAACTCCTACAAACTTTCTACAGGCTCAGCGGACTTGGCGTTGAGTCATCTTTGGCCGCAGAAGACACTGGCCTGGCCCCATGTTTCAGCAGCCTGGGCGCGTTCCTCAAAGCGCAAGGTGACATTTTTTGCGCCAGTAAATCAAGTCCAAGCAAATTCTGCTCAGCAGCAGGAGCACATTTTTCGGGTCACTTGCAGATTAGCAACATGCACCACATGTTCTTGCTGCCATATTTGCGCACGCTCACGGCAGCTGGCAGGGCCTCCAGGGCCTCTCGATGCCTTGCAGCCTGCGCCTCGGCAGGCAGTCACTGCGCGGTCTCATCCACACAAGTCTTGCTTGATGGACCTGTGCACAGCATCTTTTATCCGACCGTTGCTCGTGCTGCATCCAAGCCTAAGGCTGAATTTTCAGCAGCAAGAAACCCGCCTACCTTAAGGAACTTTGCAGGTGCCTACCCTCCTAATTGATGGAACTTTGCAGCCGCCTCCTGCGGAGCCTGGTTGCTCGTTTGGCAGAACGACCAAGTGGGCGTGACCTAACCAGCCACAGCCTTGCATTAGCTTTGCAAGTGCCAGCCTTGCCATGCATTCTCAGCAGTTCTTAGGGAACGTGCTACGGCTTTGGTCGCCAACATGTTCCAGGACGGGGCCGAACACTTTGGAAAAGCAGTGTTTGGCTGACCTACTGCTGAGAAAAACATTAACATCACAGAATAACAGAAATCCCGCGACTTATCTGACTCTGAAAACTTTCATGGCCTCAGTCATATTGTGGCTTTGTCCCATCACGGAAGATGGCGACATTTTGTCAGTGAAATTCGGCGACGCACCACCAGTGGTGAGCATGTTGAGGAGCTTGCTAACCTGCTTGCCTGACAAACATGCCAGCGCCATGGCCGTGAGGTGAGTGTCTGGTGTGAGATTGATGCCAATTGCATGCAATGTTCCAGAAATTTTGCAGCCAGGATTCTAACGTGTCGCATGTCAGCTTGCATAGCGACCTTGTTGCAAATATCAAATATGAAATGCACACACTCGCAGACCTTCAACATAGCCGGGGTTACGCTTTTCCCAACCTGCGATAATCCGAGGTGCCTGATCGATGGCTCTTGCGGGACCCTTGCAACGTATAATGCCGTTGATGAACCTGGGCCAGCAGCATGCACTTATGAATGCCTCGCTTTAGTCAGAACATGTGCGGCGCAATGGTTTTCATGCTGAAAAACACGCATGATAAATGCTCAAGCTGCACATGCGAAGGACAACAGCAGCAATGTAGCTTGTAAAGCTCTGTCTTTACGAACCATAACTTCCCCTCCTGTGCAGCCGGCAATGTTTACGAAAATAACCGATCCGGTCCGAGAACAAGCAAACATGTGTAAAAAAAAAAAATGGGTGAGAAGGTATATTCACGTTTGAGTGTTGTTTTGGTTTCTTCCAGGGACGTATTGCTTGCAAGAAAACAGGAAAAGCTCCATGCATGTGAACTTCGACACTGTGTTACCTAGAAAAGGCAGCGAAACAACAAAAACCCATGGCAACTTCGAGTCCAAGGCTCTCGTCCAAGGTGACCTCACCGTCCCCATCATCGAGGATATGGAACAGAGCGGCGCTTTCTTGCACGTCAACATCAAGGGTCTGGAAGTATGCCTGGACCTGTGTCAATGGCCAATTTTGCCCGACTGCGGTGATTGATGTTGCCAATGCGCGTCTGGCGATGTCATTCCAACAGAAGACAAAATCAACTATTGAAGTTAGTGAGGAATTACCAAATGCCGATTCTTCCCTCCAATCGATTGTCTTGATAAGACATGCCCACACTGCCAGGCGGATCGGCACACACAACGATTGAAATTAAAGTAACTCAGCGTGATAGGCGATTTTCCTATGCAAGCATAATGTTGTACAAACTCTGTATCTGGATCCACATGTGTTGAATATGTCCTGCCTCGGAAGAAACGCGATTCTGTTCTGTCAAGGCTTCAAATCAACAAGACTCCGCCCACTGGGTTTTGGGTCGGCATCCCTTCTTGAGACCTCATGTATAGCGGATAGCGGTACACTCTTGATGTTTTTTGTGAACTGGATCGTTTGATACTCCAAGCATTCAAGATGGCTAACGCATGGCCAAGGAATTGCAGCCTACATCTTGAATAGACTGATGAGGCGTGACCTTTTTTGCAACGGAGATGTATTTGTCAACGAGGTATTCGGTTTTCGCGGACAACGAGATATTCGGTTTTCGCGGAGCACGGTACTGGTTAAGGCTCCGCGACTCCGCATTGTTCCACAATGTTTGAGAACTACGACTTCGCATGAGCAAATTCGAAGAGAGACGACGCGCACATACATCATCTGATGCTCCGACTTGCCAGGCCACTTGGGGGCCTCTCGACGGTGCGTGAATGACATGCTTACCCTGGGCATAAGCCTTGCCTATGTCGGATGTGCTCGTCCAAACCATGCGACTGCGTGATGCACAATATACTCTACAAGCACCTTAATGATGTCTCCAATCGTTGCATGCCTCTCAAAGCCAAAGGCTCCAGTGGCTGACGTTAGAACGAGAGAACATCTCTGCCACTGGTAAAACCATCGAGGAAAAGACTTTGAACTTAGACATCGGCACAAGAAGTCCTCTTTGCACTCTTCTGGTTACTCAGGGCCACATGCCTGCGGTCATGAAAGCAGGCTGTACATCCAAGTTGACTGCGCTTGCGACCAAGAATCAAAGCTTTTGGTCAACATGAACATCTGAAGCAATCTTCAGACATCGCTTGTCAATTCTCCATACCCTGTCGAAAGTCTAGCCAAAATTTGGGAGGCAGAACTGCACGAAGCAGCAGAGATGATCCACAGGAGCGGGATGGGGGGAAGAGAGAAAACTTTCCTCTCAATTCAGACACATGACAGAAAGGTCACAAATGCCTGGGTTGGCAGATCGTTCTAAACATGCGCCTTGCATTCTGCGGGCTACAGCAAATGCGCAAAAAGCAGGCGGGAACAAGAAGACCCGCCCCTCCACAAGAAACACAAAAAGACTTCGCCTTTTCCAGTTGGCCGATGTGCTCAAGACGATCCCGGGGTAATGTAGAACGCTGATGAATAGATTTGCCTTGTAGTGGCTATACCGGGGATCCTAACATTGAAGTCCCCCGGGAGGACACAAGTTTCTTTATCCTACGCCCTACGCCCTAGGCCCTAAATCCCCAAAGAAAAAACCCTGAACCCTCTACACCCCTAAAACCTCAACCCTGCACCATAAACCCTACGCCGCAAACCCTGACCTAAGCCCTACAGCCTTACCTCACTCCTGGCACCATAATGGCGGACTTTACATGCTCAATACGACTGTAGCAAGCACCTTCGGATTCGAGAAGATCATCTTCAGGCGATCCTCTGTGACTATGCCATCCCCCTGATCTATGGCTTGGAACATGGCTTCCAGCTTTTCCTCAGTGGCAAATCCAGTTGGACAGTTGGAGGGTTGCACTCCGACTTCCCTCTCTTAATTAGCTTAACTATTGACCTGTAACCTCTTCCCCAGTCTCGTGCGGCTGCAAATTTGCCGTGTACAATGCTGGCACGGTACCGCAGGCGGACAGTAGGGGAGAGTGTCATGTTGCATTTGTTGCACCGCAAGCTGTCGACTCTTGACTAGTCCTGGTTTCTACCTTGAACAGCCCATGCCTTTACACAAAAGAGTGCCAGCTAAAAAGCAAGCCGAAACAAATCAGAACCAGCAATTCAGAGCCAATCTGCTAAAGCATTGTCTGTCTTGACTTCGTGCCTCATGATGCCGCATGTGTGTGGCAAACGTCCCTCTAACAACAGCACGTGCCTGAAACTGCAAGGTGTCCGTTCAGTTCAGATGTCGCACTGGGATCCCAAAAATTACGGAGCCCTAATAACATGCTGACCGGGACTCAACGAGGGCTGTCTTCTTCCGCATTTCTTCCTGAATGCGCAATTCGGCGTCATTCTGCGCCGCATCCAGCGTGTCCTTCAAGAAAACCTGACAGACTTATTGATCCATCCACATTTTGATCTACGGCCCAACCAAATGTGACGAGCGACGGCCGTAATCACTCGGATTAAAGCAAAGACAATCACGGTGATATAGGATATGAAAAATATACTGAACGCCTGACTCACCTTCCTTAGAAGCACAGAGCCACAGAAGGCATGGGCACTGAATGGCAACGGGCAGAATCCAAAACATGCAACAATTCAGTGTAGCATCTCCAGGACTGGGCGTGTGATCTGTGGCCATGAGCCCGCGAAGGTCACCTGGTCAACACGATGAAAAGTTTTAGACGAAAAAGCACGTGCATGAAACAAGCATAAGCTAGCAAGAATCTTGCGCGTCCCGGACATGGGGAAGGACGGAGTATGAATGGCATGCGTTTTCTTCCACGGGATCATTGTGATACGCTATTAACTTCGCTACATTGCGAGGCAAGATGAAGTACTATGGGCCTGAAACACCACTTCCGTTGATGTTTCGAAGCCAGAGGGCAGATGTATGAGGAACGACAAGGAGAAGGAGAGCTTCAGACTTGGGGATGGACATGACTTGTGGAGCCAGCGCGCTTTCGTTTTTGAGGCCACCGTATTGGGGGTTCGAGTGATCCTTCAGCTCAGCGTGGTCCCGGCAAAATGTCCTCCTCTACTTTCCAAGCCGGCGTGCGGGCAACTGGGTAAGGTCATTGACACCGAGAATCATACTGTTTGACTAACCCACTCGCATCTGCTGCGTACGCCGCCATGGACGCCAACAGATCCCATTGTTGCCCGCGGTCATATGTACAGCGCGCGAAGCTTTTGGTCCCTTCCGAGAAGCGCTCTCGGGACACGCACGTCTCCAGCGGCCCAGAGTTTCTGGCACAAAAAACAGGGTTCTTGCTTCTGCTACTCGCGGATCCACTGCTTCGTCTTTTGAGTGTTCCCACCCTTGAAGAACTAGCGCATCTGTTTGAGCTGATTGGTCTCCTTCTTGGCACGGTACACCTTGGCGTAGACTTCGGCCGGCATCACGTGGTCCTCTTCGTCTGCGTCTTCGCCAGGTTTGCTTGGCTGCCCTCCTCGCCCAAGGCCTCGCTCGGCATATGCTCTGCCTCGTCGTCTTCCAGGATTGCGTGACAGACCTGCCTGAACCGCTTGAAGTCTCTCATCTCGGTCTCTCTTGCGAAGAGCGCCGGCGGCGCAGCATCCCGCTCCCGCGCTCGCTTTTGGACCAAGCACTCGTCCTCATCTGGCATCTCGGGCTCGCCTCGGCCTATAGGCAAGCCTCCCCTCCAACTGACCGGCAAGCTCCAACAGGGCGTTGACCACTTTCAGCTCGTCATGAAGTCCGCCCACCCACCGTTGTCCTCATCATGGCCTCGCCCTTTCTAGCCAACTTCGCCGCGCCGCGTCCATCAGGTGCCCGAGGTAGAACTTGGATCCCACCTTGTAGTTCTGGCACTGATCGTTCTCGCGACGATAAATGGGGGTTTTGTTGATGAAGGTCTCCACGGACTCATAGGGGCGAGCTTCCTGAACTTCTGCCCCTAGCGGTCCACTTCCTTGTGTTCCAAATGCCTGATTATTGGGGACTTCTGATTTCTCCATCTCAGTCTTGATCCCTCCCTCTTGGCCGCCCGCTCTTTCGACTGCTGCATCGAGCACGCCGCCCTTAATTGGCCGCAGTCCTTCCACGACTCACCTGCAGCTTGACGTACGCCTGCGCCGTGCTCCCTTCGGTCCTGTCTGCGGCGCGTACGACTGCTCCCTTGCCTTGCACTAAAGCTACGCTCGCCCCTTGACCATGTCCTGGCGCAGAATCTGGCTGTAGAACTGCTGGTCTTAAATTACCTGCACTTAGCACAGAATCTTTTCCTGTGACTCGCGCGCTCTGAGGTCCTTGCACAGCATAGTTTAAAGGGATACGATGTTCACCTGGTCCTCCAGGCTGTCCTCGATCGCGCCCACCGTTCTGCGGCTCCACTTCGTCCCAGTTCAACGTCTCTCCGCGCCCTAGTGTCTGCTCGGGTCGGCCTCCCAATCGGCTGCTGATCCGGTCCCTGAGTTGGATGTCCAACCCCATGACCACTCGCTGTGATCCCATTCGGCACTCTCAAGCTTGCTGTAATTCAGCTGTCGCTTGGCGACGGTGTTCCCAACAAGGGTCGACTCGGGTCGACCTCCCAGTGAACCCACCTGTGACGGAAACAATCTCCTCGAACTCTACACTGCAAGACCAGATCATGACTACCATGGATCTTCCAGGTTTACCGGAACATCTCAAAATTGGTGGCCGAACATGGGGTCGCAACCAGCTGTTGGATTTTGTAGACCCGAACAAACTGCGCACCTTCAAGCCGCAATTAGCACCCGCAGTCGATCCAGCGGCTCCATCTCGATAAGGCTCCGCCGCCTTGGGCCTGCTTAGCTTGGATTGTGCCTCAGCTTCGCATTCGTGGCGGTCTCGTTCTCTGCTGGTCAGTACCACTGTCACCATGAACACGCGGATAACGAGTGGCCATGAACACGCGGATAACGAGTGGCCAACCTCGAAGTTTTGGCTCGTGCAGGAGGCCTATGACCTCGGAGAACATCTCGCGGCGCACATAAGCCCAGACTCCCCTGCCAGTTTCTTCCACTTGGCTGCGTCTGCTGCGACTGTCCAGCATCTCGAGTACCTTTCGGCAGTTGCCGGACACGCCAACAAGATCCATCTCGCCAAAGAGACGGCCGAGAGCGGTGGCAATGTCGTGGTACTGCACGTGAGGAGGCGGAGCAAGGTTGGGCTCGAACTCCCCGTTTGGCAATTCCGCTGCCAACCTGTGGCAAGCGCGAAGAAGACAGCAACAGCACATGCTCACGAACACATGTTTTTTCTGCAGGCTCGCAGAAGGGAAATCTGACTCAAGGATCCACCACATCGCAGTTCATATGCAATAAGAAGCTTGGCAACCGAACTGCGCAGAACACATCATAACTCACAGATTGCCCTCAAACATTTTGCCAGCGAAGAAATCTTGGATCACGAAGCTCCTTCTGGAGAAATAGAATAGGATCCGATGGCCTCCCAAACGCCTTTGCATGTTGGAATCTACTGAAAACCTAAAGCACCCAGACTGAAGACCAAACAACACTACATGGCAGCAAGCATGCGCGCAAGCAACACACACCCACACACGCGCTTTTTTCAATGAATGCGGATGCCTGCACGCTGCAGACAGGGCCCCCACAAGACCCTGCCTGCAGCACGCCACGCCCCCCTTCCGCAGAAGAGGTCTCACAAGTCACCTGAAAACTGCGGCATGGCGCAGAAGATGGCATCTGAAATCGCAAAGGACGAGCGCTGCTACGATTTTGGTCGCGGAAATTGCTACCAGTTCCGCAGTCAGTTCCTCCGTGTTACTATTGAAACTACTGGACAGTAGGCATTGTGCACTAGTCACTAGTTCACTGTTTGGCTGGCTACTGTTCAACCGTTCCGCCCAGAGATGTCACTCAACATGAACCGAAGATGGATGTTTGCAGAAGTCGAACTCGCCTACTTCCTAGAAAGTCTGGCAGTAGTTTGGTTGCAGGCATACTACCGACTCGAAGGACTACAGGAAGGCATGCTGATTGTGCTCAGAACCCGTATGGGTCATATGGCAGAGCATTCTACGCTGACTCTTCAAACCTAGGGTATGTCATTCATTGCCGGTTGCACAGAATGGCTGCAGGCAAGATGGGTTGTGACCTGTGAAAGGGGTGCACTTGATGCACTTGACAGGTTGCCTTAACGAGTCCATAAGAGCAACAGCCATGGGTTCTCATGGCTGGAAGCCCGGAAATTTTGCACAAGAGCCGAGGCCGGAGGCCTGGAGCTTCTAGATCCAGCGGCAGAGACTAGCTATCCTTGCCAAGGCCATCCCGCGCTAGCGGCTAAATTACGAGTCACGCAAGCCATAAATCCGGCTTCAGCATCCGGAAGCTGCAACAATCAAAAACTCTTGCGCATGCGTTCCGCATCCCAAGCCTAGAGCTCCTACGTCCTATCGTTCCTGATCCACATCAACCAAAAGAGCCACATCCAAACGCCTTTTCGACAGCCGAAGCCGTGAGACCAACCTCTGAAATTGCAATCTTTACACCCAGGTGCCCGTCACCTGCAGTCAATTTTCAGGTACCACCATGTACAAAATTTACTTCTGGAACAAAGGTCTCAAATTTCAGAGATGCCCAGGGGGCCAAATGTAATCTCCGGAAAATGGAGCAGCGCTTGTCTCCTTCGACTCATTCATGTGGCACACACTGGCAGCTACGCCCCATGTTTTTGGCAAAAATCTGCAAGTTGCTGTGGGACCTGCTAGAACCAGTGCCACAGCCTTGCTTCAAGCATCACGGCTTTTAGAACAAAGCCTGGTGGCTTGACATCTTACTACCGTCTTGGTACGAAAGCCATCAGGCAAGGGAAGACTCAGTACAGGACAACTGGTGTGAGGAATCATGATTTGCACATGGTGATTCCAACGCATTGACGTTGCAGCTTGCTCCAACATCAGAGTTTCATGTGCAATGGACTGCCACGTGCTTTGAAGATGGGTTCAGGCATGCAAAACGTAGGCATGAAAGTCTAGGCGTTCGAATGATCGGCATTTCAGTGCTTAATCTCAGTTGTCCACGTGTCTTGAAGGAAACAGCCAAAGTACACCCCAAGCCACAAGTGACTGCCGCACTGGCCTCGTACAAGGTATACAGCGATCGATATGCAGTGCCGTAATATTTCCAGACCCATACCCTGTCCTCGAATGTCTCGTCTTCGCTCGATATGAATGTTTGCAGCAGGTTCCCCATCATCAGGGACCCCATCATAATGAAAACTCCGAGCAAGACCATGGCCCAAAACAGCGAAGACAAGAACGATTGACACGCCTCGCGGCTTGCAAAATCAAGGAGAGCTGCGCAACAGACAGCACAAATCTAGCAGTATCCCAGCCATGAGCCTTCAGAAGCAGTTGTAGACCCCGACAGAAGCGAAAAGCCCGTAGAAGGCGCACTGCCCGAAGAGAAGTCAATGCCCGGACTAGAAACATCGTGAAGGCTTGCACGGGAGCTCCAGCGACATCTACAACAACAATCAGGCAGAGATCTATCCTTAGCTTGCCATGTTAATGCTGATGTTGCCGTTGCAGCTGCAAACACAGTTCAGGAGTCATCCGGCCCAGAGTCAATGCGGCTCCTGCTAGAGTTGCATCAAACCAGTTAGCCATGCTTTTGCGGAAGTTGGGCCCTTCCAAAATGATGCGCATCACCAGCTCAATCCTGGGCTGACTGGCTGCAAGGCATGCAATCCAGATCTGCCACTCGCCAACCTTGTGGGCTGCACGAAACCTTCACGACCAAGCCTCACGAAGCTCACGTCAAAAAGCATGTCCAAGGTCTTAAACAAAAGTCCGTCACCAGCTGCTGGAGGCTTGTCAGACCTGGAATGCAAGAGCAGTTCGGGTTTACCACAAAGTGCTTATTGCTTCCACTAGACTCCCTTGAAGGTTTGCTGGCAGAACCATGACACATTGCAACGATTTTGTTGCTTCCATCACACCTAGAACCCACACAACTGGAGCCATGCCTCTTGCCCAAAAATCTGGTCATTTGACGCACCCAGAATCTCACTGCTGCCTGGACACTGCCCAAGCAGAAAGCCAGAAGCCATCCCTTGCAATTGGAGCTCTACAAGCATGGTCAGGGAGTTGAGACCTGACGTCAAGAGTTTAGAATTTCAGCATGTTTGAAAAGCATGCGCAAAGGCTGCGACCCACCAAACCACCCGCGATGTAGTCTCCGTACTTCTCAAACGTCGAAAGCACCGGGCCGGATGGCTTCGACTGAGCCCCATCCAACTCTGTGAGACTGCGGAAAGACTTGGAAGGGGAATCCGACATCAAGTGCTTCTTTGAAGGGGACTCCACGGACATCTGTTCCGACGTCGCGTCATTCACATCAGCAATGCTGCCGCCATCAGCACTGTTGGTGCCATCAAGCCAATTTAGAACTTCGTGTGGACTGGGCGGTGATTCCTCTGCATCGCATAGGGTCGGCTGCGAAGTTTGCTGGTCGCATACTAGGCCGAACCTGGCTTCTTCCTCAGACCAGCGGCTGATGACAGAAAGCTATCCTGTCGTTTTAAGCTGACTGAGACGAGAAAAACAGTACTCTCCATTTTTTCCAAGGCACCCTTCCCAGCGTCGTTGGGGCAAGGTGCGTCTGCACAGAGAATTCGGCACTTGCACTGGCACCTGTGGTTTGGGCTGCAAGTTCCACGGCTCAGAATAAAAAAGCCGGGCTGCATTTTGAGATTACTCTCCGCGTTCGTGAGCAGTTTGAAGCCCAGTGGCTAAGCAGCTCGCCTGGCTGCGCCACTTGTTCAAGCTGCCGACGCAGGTCGGAGAAGGCGGTACTGAAACAGCAAATGACAAGCATTGCATAGAAGCCTAACATGAAACTTGCAGATGCAGCAGCAATATCACCGATTCACGGATCCTGTGCGACCAAGTGGCAGCAGAGATTTGTTAAAACCTCGCTGGTGTTCCTCCACATTTCTGTAGATCCTGGCTTCAGCTTTGCCCAAGGCATCCCACAGCGTGGCCATTTGGCATCGGCCGTTTGGCACTGCTTTGGGCGCACCTATCTGCTTGAAGCTTGTCAAAACATGTCATAACCATGCGAAGCATGCTCAAGAAGCTGGGTTTGCTGTTCGGTGTGTAACTGAGCTGCTAGCTGCCGATTCCAGGCCAAAGGGCTGATACAGTACACATTGAAGCATGCACAGCGTCGACTTGCCAAAGCTCTGAGTGTGGCTTCCAAGGCTTTGCACTCTTCGTCACTCTTCCATAGCGAAAACGAAAAAGCAAACCCAGCTCACGTCTGCAGAGGCTGAGAGGCAACCTCGGAGGCTGCATGGTCACGTCGCTGAGTCTCGCCTCGAGATGCCAGAAGCTACATGGAGCTACTGCTTCTTCGGCTTCTCGGCCTCTAGGCTTGGGATATATGAGGTTAAAGTCGCCATATCCCTGCCCAAGCAAGTACCTCTCGCAATCTGCCTCATTGCGCTGCTCTAGACTCTAGACATGATCATGTTGTCGCGCTGCTGAGTCTTGCTGCATCCAAGTTGCTAGAGGACTCTAAGAAGTCGAGGCGCTCCTGCAAGGCCAGCTTGGCCACCCGTGGGATGCCAAAGAATTGCAGCAACATACTAAGCGCTGCACTGTGAGCTGCTTCGAAGCTGATCGCAGGTTCCGAATCTGAGCCGTGTGCTCCTGCGGACAAGCTACGCCCAAAGGATATTAGGTGAACACGTCATGTCGTAATCACCCGCGGAAGAATAATGGCGCGGCGCTTAAGTTTTTCCCTTCCAACATGCTTCTGTCAGCAAAATTCGTGCCCAATCTTGCGGGCTCAGTGTTCAAACCAACGCAGCTCTGGCTTTTTGCATAAAATCTCAGATCCGTGCTCGGAACTACCCCCGATATTAAGTCGTGCTTTCACAGTCTATGCCACCAATACAACCAATAAACGGAAGCAAGATGAATCCAAATGGCAAGCATAAGGAAGTGCGGTACCGGGAATGCATCTGCTTTTAACCACATCGCGGGCCGCGCACGTGGCACTCAAGAATGACATGTCTGATGTGCTTGGTTCTCTGTGCTTTTGTTCTCTACGTTGGCGCTTAAAATTGACTGCCACAATCTTGTCCCTGACCAAATCTTATCCGCCGCAATGTTTTGGCAGCAGCTCGTCAACCGGAGACAGCCCCTTTGCACAGTGCTAGCCCGGATCTTTGTATGCATGAATCCAGCATCTGCTGAGTTCCAGCAGCAGCGCTGCTTCTGCTGCCACATCACTGTGGAGGATGCTAGTCGATGAAGACGATCCCGGAGTCATACGCACCGCGAAAACGCACCCTTCTCCAGACCTCTGAAACGCGCATAACAGGATAGGTTAGCAACATCAAACACATCACACCACTGTACCTGAGATATGGCAGTGTCAGTCATCAAATCAGACGCGGCTCTAAACCAGACTCCCGGTACCGTGAGTGCGAGTACTTTGAAAGCATGCCCGAGGGGTTTGAAACCAATTCATAGTTGCTGCCTGCATATTTTCTCGGAGGTTGTTTTCACGCAAAGCATATTCCAGACTGCGCCAGTGTGTTCGCCAGAGGACCCAGATGCCAGAGCATGGGCACTACAGTCTATAACAACATGTGTCAGATCCGTTGGGAACCAAGCCCCTCCCTGCATCACAAGATATCACCAACTCATTTCATAGATCAGACGCGTGGGCCTGAAATTGCCTATCACGGCTGCGTACAATGCCTGCCTGGTTCTGCCGGCTCCCGCCCAGCTCCACGTAGCTCTTCTCCTTCTCCACAGCCTTGCGGCCACATGCTCCGAGCAGTTGAGGACCATGATCCCTGAGGTTCCTAGCATAACTCTGGATAGGAGTTCTATCACAATAGCGCTTGTTCTGGACATGTGGATGGACATCGTGACTAACTCATCTGCGACTGTTGGTGGGATACAAGTCTGCACTGCAACACACGAGCCCAGACCTCACGAAGCTGCCTCTGCTCCCCAAGCTCAGCTTTGAACTTATCCAGCCTGCAAGGCCGTGAGGGTGGCATGTCGGGGCAACGTCACATTCAGCAAACAAATTCGAAAACGCCACGGCCACATTCACAAAACGCACGGCGCGATTTGACGACGCCGCGGACACATTCGGGAAACGCCGCAGCCAGATTCGGAAAACGCCTCAGCCCCCCACATTCGGAAAACGCCGCACAAAACGTACAACCACGTCCTGTCTCGCCTACTGGAAGCTTCATCCTTCGTTTCCAGATTCTGCCCGTGTGAAAAGAAGCAAAAATAGAAATATTAGAAAAAGCCCTCATTCGGATAACGCCGCAGCCAGATTCGGATGCCCCTGAAAACACACGACCACGTTTGTCTCGCCTGCTAGACTCTTCTTCCGTCGTTTCCGGATTCTGCCCGTGCGAGAAAAAAAAAGAAAATCCAATACTACAAAAAGCCCGCATTCGGAAAACGCCGCAGTCAGATTCGGAAAACGCCTCAGCCAGATTCGGAAAACGCCTCTGAAGACGTACGACCACGTCTGTCTCGCCTACTAGATTCTGCCTGTACCAGAAAAGAAAATTCAATATTAGAAAAAGCCCGCATTCGGAAAACACCGCAGCCAAGTTCGGAAAACGCCGCAGCCAGATTCGGACGCCCCTGAAAACGTTCGATCACGTCTGTCTCGCCTGTTAGGCTCTTCTTCCTTCATTTCCGGATTCTGCCCTAGAAAAAGCCTGCATTCGGAAAACGCCGCAGCCAGATTCCGAAAACCCGCAGCCAGGTTCGGAAAACGCATGGAAACGTTCAATTGCGTCCGTCTCGGCTGCTACATCCTTCGTCCTTCGTTTCCGGATTCTGCCCGGACAAATCAAGGTTTTTAGGGTTTTTGAGCCTTGGAAGCCTGCAAACTTACCGAGAAGAGCCTAAACCCTAAGAGGCCCTGATCCCTACAAAGCCCTCAAAACCCCCTAAACCCTAAAAAGCCCAAACTCTAAAAAACCCTAAACCCTAAAAAAACTAAACCCTAACACACCCTAAACCCTAAAAACCCCTGAACCCTAAGAACCACCTAAAACCCTAAAAACCCTAAACCCCAAAAACCACCTAAACCCCAAAAACCCTAAACCCTAAAAACCCTAAACCCTAAAACCACAAACCCTAACAGCTCTACACCCTGAAAACCCTAAACCCTAAAAAACCTAAACCCTAAGAAACCCCTCAACCCTGAAATCCACCTAAACCCTAAAACCCTCTAAACCCTATAGCCATAAACCCTAAAAACCCTTAAACCCTAAGAAAACCTAAACCCTAAAAACCCTAAACACTAAAAAACACTAAACCCTAAAAAACCTTAAACCCTGAAAACCACCTAAACCCTAAAACCTTCTAAAGCCTAAAAAACCCTAAACCCGAAGAATCCGAAGCCTTAAAAACCTAAACCCTAAAAACCCCTAAACCCCGAAAACCACCTAAACCCTAAAGCCTAAAGCCCTCTAAACCCTAAAAAGCCCTGAACCCTAAAACCCCTAAGCCTTAAAAACCAAAACCCTAAAAACCCTAAACCCTAAAAAACAACTAAACCGCCTATACCCCAAAACCCTAAACCACAAAAACCCTAAACCCTAAAAGCCACCTAGACTCAAAAGCCCTAAACCCTAAACCGTAAAAACCCTAAACCCTAAAAGCCCTAAAACCCAAAACCCTAAACCCTAAAAACTCTAAACCCTAAAAAAAAAGTAGACCCTAGAAACCCCTAAACCCCGAAAACCACCTAAACCCTAAA